TAACAATGAAAGAATGTTGAAGTATTTCTCTCTCTTCAAATGAAAGAAGTAGCTTTAGAATTGACCTTGGTTCAAGAATAATTCTACCTAAGAGTAGTTAAGTGTTCCAAAACTAAAACTATCTCATCCTACCACACATTCAAAAAGCTTCCTCAGTTTATGAAGTTGGCAAGATATCTGTCTAAAAACCAACGGGTGAGTATTCTGTGTAATACTTCGTTCAGGAAGAAAGTTCGTGTATGTTGCTAGTATTGATTGGTGGGACCAAATACTGAGTAATTCCGAGTGTAGAACTGGGGTCATAGGTAAATGTTCTTAACAAGTATATGTGTGATCAGATAGTTCGAAATGTACTGCGCTAATATATCACATAATTCGTCTTCTTATTACATTATCGAAATGCAGTAAATCGGATGATGAGGTAGAGAATCGTCATTTCATGAGACAATAACCAATAACTGAAAAGGGGTTTTATGGCTCAAAATTGGATCCATTATATTATTCACGTTCCCTTAAATCTATGTTGCTTATTTTATTTTATACATATATCGTTTTTGTGCCTAATTCCTTCCGTCCGCATCACACCCTTCGTGCCTTGTTTAAAACTATTATTTTCAGTTCTTTGTTGTGCAATTTGTCAATTTCCTCCCATTGTGCTGATAAGATGTAGTTTCCTACATGTAAAATTTTTTGCGAGAAATATATATTTATTATTTCAACTACTTTCAAGTTTGTAAGTATGCATAAGCTATACGTAAAACGAATATGAGCTTTGGGTCCCGAGACAAGTTTAACTACTGTCTACTTCAACAAAAATAATTCCCAGAAATTACAAAACCACAACTAACTCCAAGCAGTCGATCTTCAGTTGCTATAACAACAATCCTTCACCGGTTAGTATTCAGCGTCTGAATAAAATGTCTACAACCGATATTAGAATTTGAGGAAAATCCATAAATCACTGTAAGTCTCATTATATTCAAAAAAAATTTAATCACAGTCATTCATTGTATTATTGGTTTTCTTTTGGGCTGATGAGATAAAATTAGAAAGTTACAATAAACATACTCTATACTAAAGTAGATACCAAGTGTACTCACCGATAATGACAAAATAAAAATATTATTTCTAAGGGAATAACAATAACAAGTATGAGCTTTTTTTAACATTTTAGTTTATACGTCGAAAAGTTCAACTCGCACAACATTAAACGTTAAAATTAAGTTGAAAGGAAAGTAGAAATACCCAAAAGAACAGAGTGGCTTCATAAATAAATTTTTAAACACTATAAAATACTATATCAATAGACACAGGCCCTGACAGGTTTACTCCTGAGATTTTTAAGGATGTGGTCCAGTATTAGCAGTGAGATTAACTGAGGTCTTAGGTAGAATTTGGGAAGTGGACATAATCCCGTATGACTGGTCTCAATCACTGATTGTGCCAGTCTATAAGAAAGGACAAAAGTCCTCTTGTGACAATCACAGAGGAATCAGTTTGACTAATATAGTGTCTAAAATATTAGCTTCGATAATACTTCGACGCCTAACCAAAGCTCGTGAAGAACAGACTAGAGAAAATCAGGCTGGTTTTCGACCTGGACGTTGTTGTATACATCAGATACTCACACTACGTCAGGTTCTAGAACACAGACACACATTCAGACGCCCCACAATGGTAGTATTTCTCGACCTTAAAGCAGCATTCGACTCTGTTGATCGTGAGGTTCTATGTCAGTGTTTATCACTGAAAGGAGTACCAAAGAAGTACATTAACCTTATAAAGGCTCTCTACTCGAACACAACTGGTCGAGTGAGAGCTTATGGCGAACTGTCATCAGAATTGATTACCTCAAGTGGTGTTCGTCAGGGCTGTCCACTCTCCCCATTCTTGTTCCACTTTGTGGTCGAGGTACTTTTAGAGATAACACTTTCCTCGTCTAGATTTCCAAGGGTTGAACTTCTACCAGGAGATTCACTTGTTGACTTGGAATATGTCGATGGCATAGTTCTATTTGGTGAAGACGCTGACAAAATGCAGAGTCTTCTGGCCACTCTAAGCAACAATGCAAGCATGTTTGGGATGCGATTCTCCCCCTCGAAGTGCTAAATGTTACTTCAGGATTGAGTTGCATCGACACCCGAACTAATGATAGGGAGTGAAGTAGCTGAGCGTGCTGATCGCTTCACTTATCATGGGAGTCTCATCAGCCCTTGTGGTCTGGTGTGTGACGAAATCTCAGCATGGATACAGAAGGCTCGACCAACTTGCGTCATTTATGGCGTAGGCGAGATATCCGTCTATCAACCAAAGGACGTGTTTACTGTGCAGCAGTTAGTTCCGTCCTACTTTATAAGAGTGAAACATGGCCGGATATTCGCAGGTTACTAGTATTGAATCAGTTGAGATGGCTGGGATATGTGTTGCGTATGCTCAACTACCGACTGCCCCTACGAGCGATGTTTTGTGGTGTAGGAGTAGGTTGGAAGAAAGCTAAGGGCGGCCAGATCAAAACATGGCACAAGTCCATGAAGTCACTGACAAGTGAACTGAGTCATATTGATGGGTGTAGACTATCTGGTTCGGGACAGCGAGATGATAGCAACTGATGGTTAGAGACCCTGAATGACATGTCTCAAAATCGTTTGCAGTGGCGCAGGTGCATCCACTCTTTGATCTCTCCCAAATTCTAATCTTCTGAATTATTCATGTCCCTTTTTTTCTCTTCCCAAATTTATTTCACTGGATCATACTTCATGAATAACATCTTCGGACGCTAATCTTTCCGATTACTGTTTATACTTTTACTATCTCTACCACTACGGGATTTGGATCGACAATTGTATCTCTGTGCTAATGTGGTATGGCAACTCGAACTGGTGTACATACGTACGAAGTTCTACGTTGTTCCTCACTGACTGACTGATATCAATGGATAGTATGTAAATAGAGTATCAACATCTGGATTAAGTTTGCTCTGAAAACTATTACCAAATGTATATTCACAGTGATCTTAACTGTCACGATTTGAATTGTTCTTATCACAATACGAAATGAGTGAATCAAACGTAGATTGACAAAATATCTATGCAATGATCCTAAGGCAAGCGAAAGGAATTTTAAGAATATCAGTCATAGACACAACATAAGATACTTTCTAGATTTGTCATCGAGACTGGGATTAAAGTTAGAAGTTAGCAAGATTATTATTGCGATCGAGTGACTGGACGGCAAACACCAGATAATCTTCAGTTCCGCACTATTCATTAAATGATTTCACAACATATAGATTTCAGGGCTCCATCTCATAACAATATTGGAAAAGTCATAACGAATTTGAGGATGACAAAAGCGCCTAGATATTGAGTCAACCTCAGGTGTTTTAAAGGACCAAAACCCACGACTACTGAATAAAGTGAGTGATAGGTTAGCCAGGGTTTCGGAAGCTGGACATAACTCAATTCGATTCACTTTGGTCACTGATTGTTTCTATCTTAAAAGAAAATAACAAGAATCTTGTGACAGCTGGAAAATAGCTTTTGTAAAATCTTAAAAATAATCCGGGAACGCAAAACCTGCGTATACACATCCTTCAACGGGCCTTCAAAGCAAGAAGCTCGTGCTGACTCAACTGTAGCTGCGTCTCATGGCTCGAGTTTTATAATACCTCCACTGAGGGACTAACCAAATAAGGACTCTTTTTCCCAAACTTTCAATCAAATCAGACATTACGATGAAGTCACTGATTTTTGTTCATCCATCCTATTTTACCCACTTTGGTTAGGATTTTAAAGACGGAAGTTTGCTTTACCCAAAGCCCGAACACCATCTACTCCATCACATTAGTCCATGAGCTATTTACCAGGGTAAAAATTGTCATTTCGTAAGATTTACGCGATAACTGTAATCATGATTCAAAAAGGCAGTATTCAAGAAATAGTACAGTAACCCAAGTGAGTTCTTTATGTTCAACTAAGTCATGATCAATGTATCACCATATATTCGATACTCTCTAATTGAATTTGCTTTTTTTCTAGTTAATCTTCACTTATCAGAATGGGTTTTGTGGAGAGTTTTAGAAATTTCACAGGTTGAAATCATGAGTCAGTTGAAGCTAGGTCACCATTGAAAACGGCCGTCCAGTGCTTCCAGGTTTTCAATGGTGGCCTAGCTTCAACTGACTCATGATTTCAACCTGTGAAATTTCTAAAACTCTCCACAAAACCCATTCTGATAATAATCAACTGCTCATTAGTGACTGACTTCAAGAAAAACTCCTGGAGTTCTAGTGAGAAGCCGTTACCAGTGGAGTTCAACCGGTCTGTTGTGAGATAACTCACTGAAGACAATGGTGTACGGTGGCGCAACTTCGTGGATTGGTTGAAGTTAGACATTAACACCGTTGGATGCCGGCTCAGTGGTCTAGTGGTTAAGTACTCGCTTGCGAAGCCAGTAGGTCCTGGGTTCGAGCCCCGCGTGGTGCGGGATCGTGGATGCGCACTGCTGAGGAGTACCACACCAGGACGAAACGGCCGTCCAGTGCTTCCAGGTTTTCAATGGTGGCCTAGCTTCAAGTGACTCATAGTCTTCACTTCTTGTCTTTTAGCTTATTTCCTATCCTTCTGCAGATATAAAATGTGGCCAGTTGAAGAACGCAGTCAATTTAATTAGAATAGATAAATTTTGTAGAAAACAAGATTGACGTCCTCACAACTGAACCTGTCCAGTATGAGTCAATCAATATTTCTTTTTAGTCCCACAACACAAATAAACCTGGTTGTTACTAGACATCAATTATTAAACCCTTCAAGCAGACATTTCCTGTGCTTGGCTTTGAACCACACCACAAATGAGGGTTTGTGATACCACCCGAGCAAAATAGACAGAGGGATTCGAACCTACTGGCTAGTGTTTAGAAATCGGACACACAACCATAAGCCCATCGCCCATATATCTGTGGAGTTACCGTTTTGTATAAGACGCAACAGTAAGACGAGGTATGTTTGACAAGTAAGTGTGATTATTAACATAACTTTATGTGATTTTTACATTAATATTATAATTACAAGTTTCCACTTGGCTTTGAAAATAAAAAACAAAGCTCATCAGACGTTGAGCAAACAAGAGAAAAATGAATCCAGTATAGTTACTCACTATCTAAATATAACTGAATAATTATGACATAAATGACCAAATAGATCGAACACATATAACACTCTCACACCAGTCGCTGTCTACAATATCACTAATTAAATGAATAGTGGTATTGTAGTTTAAAAGGAAAGATTCAATAGTTAAAGCTCTCACATACGTTTACTTTTAAGGAAAAAGACAATTATGACATCATGAAGCTAAGGAAAATAATGGTGAAACAATTACGAAGAAACATCACAAGTGAAAATAGAAACTTCGTTATATATATCATGTTGAGTTTGTAGGCTTTGTTTGCGAGAGTTAAAAATCTCACCAAGATGGAAATTACGTAAATTTTATGAATTAGAAAAGGGACTATTTGGGATTATGTATCTATGTATGTTGTTTCAGTCTAAATATTCTGAACAATAAAAAATATACGAATAAAATTTATTTAAATATGAAATAGAATGCATTGATGTGAACTCTGTATGAATGAGAAGAGAGAAGGTGGATCAACAGGTAAAATTTCCAATCAAATACACGTTCACAATGTGACTGAATGAATTACATACATATATATTCAGATTACACATTAATAATTAACAAGTAGAATTGCTAGAAACATAGTCACAACTTTCAATTATCTATAACGTATGCAGAAATATATTTTTAATAGATTATTAATAGTCGTAGTTATGAAATATACGTAATTATTTATTAGATCATATTTACACCATGATGTGAATCCAGAAGGAGAAAGAAAAAAAAAACATCTGAAAAGTAGCCGTTGTTGCTGCCAGGTTGTGGAAATATAGTGTACAAGGAATGACACGTGAGTTACAGTGTATGCGGCAAACAATTTTACAGATTAAGTTAACAAGCATGAGTTAAATATTTTCATTTCTTTTTAGTATTAATACGAACGACAAGAGAAGGCGAACTGTTGTAAAACAAAGTACAAGAAAGCGTGAAAAAAATTATGTAAAATAGTAGGATCATCATGTAAACAAAACAACATAGGGAAATATATTTGAAATGATAATTCTGATGGACGGAAAAGTACTGATGAAACAAAACAGTTCATTGAACAGTGTCAATTTTGAAGAAAGATGGAGTCGGATTTTCTATCTACAGGGTGTAGAATAATATACTTCGAAAGCAATATAGCATTTACGTTTCTTTGACAATGAATAGGTAATTAAACGAAATTATAATAGAATTGGTAGATGATTAGATGATGTAATTCTTAAAACGTGAAAAAACTAGTCACCTTGATATCGAATTGAATAATGAGAAGTTATAAAAGATGTATTCCAGATTTTATATGGTGTTCTTATGATATGCTGCTACATACCTTTAACAGCAAACTAACATTTACAATAATGGTTATCTGTGACAGATAGGTGATAGAAGACAGATAAATTAGAAAATGTTTAGAACATCACTAGAGTTAATGGTACCTTTTTCTTTATTTATTTCCTTATGAAACTTTGGAAACTGTGATACTGCGTTATAACGTAATAAAAAGAGGATAACGTGGCCATACAGAGTCACTATCTCTAATTCAACTAGTGAGAATCCCCAACCGATGTTACCACATTTGGATATTAAATAGTAATTAGCTTAACACAATTAACCTATAGCCCAATACCCTCACTGCTGACACTTTATGTAACCTGAAAATAAATGAAGGTTTTAAACATCCCATAAAATCAAATAAAGCTAGTGAAAAACAGGTTCATGTACTGCTATTGGGCAATTCATATCTTGCCAATAGCTGATAACATCCAGATATGCATAGAGTAGACTGTGATTATGAATTCTACTTAAAATATCAATGCTTCAACTTCAAAGAAACGTATAGTGGCAGTTTTTTACTTAAGGATGTAGGAATTTACGCTTTTAAGGAAAATTATCGCTAAAAAAGGTAAACGGTAAATATATGATTGGGTAAAACTAGTTACAACAGGCTTACCTACGGCCTATGTTTATACACTGTCTGCAACACCTAGTTTACTTAATGAATCCTGTTCGAAGCGTCTTTGAGCCTCTTGTTGTCGTTGATAATGTTGTTGAAGCTGTTGTAATCGAGAAGTAGGTCCTGGTGTTAAACGTAAAGTTGGTGGGAGAATAGGTGGGGGATTTGATGAATTCGGAGAGGAGTGAGGCTGAGAGTTGGATGAAGTAGGGAAAACAGACTGAGATATTTTGAGAGATACACTATCTGAAGGAGAGCGATGGTTGGAACTACTGACAGCTCGTTTACCTAGTTGCCATGTTCCACGACTCTGATGAGCCGGCTGATTCCAAAGTGGAGTCCCACTTCCAGAAGTGGAGCTTGAAGTGCTAACAACAGTAGACATAGAAAACAACAAATTATTTTCTGCAGCAAATGTTGTAACAACACCTGTGACAGAGCGTGAATCGTCACGTTCGAGCAGGCTTTTAAGTAACTGAGATGCTGGATTAGTCGCTAATATTGACTGGTTTGAGTTAGCAAGCGCTAAAGAAGTAGCACACAAATTGTGTCGAATTGGAATCGATGAACTATCATCAGTTAGGTTTGATGTGCCGATGTCCATGATATAAGTTCTGCTAGTGGTTACTTCGCAAGGTAAAACAGTATTAGCCCCAAGTGAACCAGGTCTACACATGCCAAAACTGCCACTGGGTACTGAAAATCTACCTAGTGGTGCGGTGTTCACACTGAATGGAGACATGCCGAATCCTGGTGCAGTCGGAAGCATGACTGGTCTATCTGATTTCGGTAAAATTTTCCTAAAAGAGTGATACTTGTGGACAACTGTTCTTTTAGGCGGCCCTGAGCATACAGAAGCATTTGTAGAGGATTGGACAGTGGTCATAATAGGGATTCCACCCGAACCAGAAAAAGTAGGAGATATGGAAGAGGAAATGAAGGGTTTGCCTGACAGTAAAAAGTGATCACCAACACTTTCATTCGTTGACGCTCGCGGTGTAGAAAGACCTTGACCAACAATACGACTACCTGAAACGGAAATCGATGTGATACAATGAGATCAGATCAGTTAATGTTGAATCTCGCGGATGTGCGTTAGTCTATGTTACCATACCATATAAGCACAATATGAAATTGACAAAATGTATGGCAAAAGAATAAAGTAACGTAGTATCAGTAACAATAAGAAAGACTAAGCGTTGAGAATATGCTTTAGAACGATGCAGTGGGAACGTATCTATGAAGAAATGCTGGAATCCAAGATGAAGAGAAAGAATGTATCTGTGTCACTGAGAATTATTCTGACCCATATCATCCAAAGTCTCCAGCGATCGATCGCGATTGTATCGTGAACTCCAACTAGGTAGTCTACTGGTACCAGTATAACTCACATCAACAATCATGATCTGATGCCATATATCAGTTTGGCAGCCCCTACCTTTTAACCAGCTAATTTACACACCACTCAAACATGCTCCCGTTGAGGTAAGTGGTAACTGAGCATATGTAAAGAGACAATGAGATACTCAAAAATAATAGCAAAATCATCAACTAGAGGATATAACAGATAAATACCTTTCCTGTTTATGAAGTTCGTAAATAATGTATCAATTCACGTAGTCTTATAATACTATTTGTGACTTGAATAAAAAATATCTATTGATAGAGAATTTTGTGTCAACACTCACACTGTATGATACATGAGCAACAAACATAATTTGTGTTAGTTTAGTCTAAACTTCAATAAATTTTAAAAAACACAGCTTCCTATCTAAACTGCGAAACAAGAGAAAGACTTGAAGATAGAACTGAGTAGTTTATGTCGACAAGTATAACATTTAAACTCGACAGATAAAATTGTTAAATATGTTAGAAAGTATTTACGGTGAAAGGTAAAGAATCACACCATATATCCTATACAACTAGTCAGATACAGCACTTTTTAACTGAGTAAGAAGATAATGTTATCAGACTAACTGTTATACCGGCTGTTTGGATATCTGTGATGAGTTAACTACAAGTAGCATTAGGCAATTTTCCTTTCATAGAAGCAAATCTTTGAACAATGATCAATTTGACGTGAAAACAACATAGGGGATACAGTTAGTTTCATAATTTTCAGCTACAATCATTTAAATAGGAACGGAAAGATATTTTCTTTTTTACTTAATAAACATGAAAGTATGAACTACGTAGCACTGAACAACACAAGTTATATAAAAATAAATTCTTATTCAACATCTCCATAAAAAGTTTACCTTAAAGTATATTTAATTTCTCAGCACACTGAAACAAACCAATGAAGTAGTTGTGCTCACAAAACTACTGATTGATTTGTTTCTTCCACACTATGTTCTGTACCCGACCTCGGCGTTGCTCACTTGAGTAGGTTATATTACTTAAATGGTCACGTTTTTAGGTCATGTAACAGAAAAGAGTACACTGATAGCCTGTATACATGACACAAACCACACCAAAATACACGTAACTGAAGTAGTTCGGTTAGCTCGAGAAATTTTAACAAAACTGCTAATGTGCCTAACCACATACCATTCTGTACTGTTAAATAAAATATTATTGGGGATCGTTCCTAAAGCATTATCCGACAACTTACAGATGCAAATAACTTAAATATTGGTTTTTTTAAAAGCCATTTTGTTTGACAGGACTAAACAGTTCCAACTTAGATCAGAGGGGCATCAGGTAAAATATGAGTGTCTAAAGACCCGGGTGCAGAAAAAGGTACCACTGGAAGGATGGATATATCAAAGCTAAATAAAGGTAAGTGAACATCCTGAAAAACTAATACAACCCACTTATCAAACACAAGTTTACGTACCAGGATTTAGGTCGAATTGTGTGACGGTTGATGACACTAACCGATGGCCTAAAGAAAAGCGAGCAAAGTCGGATTCGACAGTGCCACTAGCCAGTAGGAACCCGAGTGCTTTAATCATTAGGATAAGCCACTTGAGGACTAGTGATTTACGGACGTGATATGATCTGCACCATTAAATTAGGAATCAGATATGCTGCCAGACTAGAATGGATATAAGATGGACCAGTATCCCAGAAATCAACCTAAACTTGGAGTCAAACTGGGAATAAATATTACAATCTACAGATATAATAACGAAATTTAAACTTCCTAAGTACTGAATAACCTACAGATTCCAGTCTCTTAAATTTGGTGACCGAATAAAGTAGCGTTTTTGTTATTTGTATACTAATTGTTGAGCCAAATTGTATTATACTACTGATCTACTAATTACTCAACATACCTGTATTTTGGTCTGCTTCCGTAAAACAACGAACTGTAGCAGGTGCTAAAGGATTAAAACATTGTGATGGCAACCTCAAGCTGCCAGTAAGTGATGGATTAAAAATAGGACGTCCAATTGGCCAATTTACGCAAGGTGCTCTCATTACTGTAGGGTAGTGAGCACTCATAAAAGGAAGACCTTCTAGTTCTGAAGATATAGTTGTTGGTACACTAGATAAGGCGCTGTTATCGAAAAAACGATTTGAAGTTAACTTATGAGACGGTACAGAAGAAGACTGAAATGAAGTAGCAACAGAGGGTTCATACATTTTCGTAACGTTTTTGAGCTCGAAATCTTCCATATCATCATCGTCATCATCATCTATTTCAAGTTTTGGGTTACTTTTATGAGCAGGGTCTTGATTTAAATGCACGGGGAATGGTCGAAATTCGGAGTTAAGCCCAGAGGTGTTTGACAATACTGACGAGGTGCATTGAATGGGCTGCTGAGATTGTTGAAGCTGGGAAGTTTGTGGGCACCGTGTGACAATTGCTTCTGATTCGAGTGACTAAAAAATCACAATTTTTCCAACTTTAAAATGCGGTTAAAACGGAATTAAATGATAAATAACAACAATAAGTTGTAAACAACCAACAAACTGAGAAGCAAATGAACGAAAGGACGCACCTTTCTAGAAGACTCCGTAAGATTTGACAACAGCTATTTTGGTTTATCATAAGAACCTAGAGTAATAAAGGCAGTTGTTAACAAGGCATTGAAAAGTCTAATCAGTACAACTACCAATATTCATTTGCGCACTTATATGCAGTAGTAACTACATATTGCAAATCTAAAGTCTTTATATGACATGTGACAAGAGCTCGTATAGGGATGTTAAGCAGTTAGATTTAGTGATATTTATCACGTTAAACAATGAACATATGAATACTTAAATTTTGAATATAACAAAAAACTGAAAATACTTTCGCCGCATTTCGATTCCAAGTTAACTCTGAATCAATAAAATATGAGATTTTGCTTGTGCATATTCCAAAAAACAATTAAGGCGTTTCGTTTAGTCAACACATTAAAGGTATACCGAGCAAAAACTGTGAAACCTGAAGACTAGGCTAATTCATCAACGTATTTCATCCAAGTATAACATTATTTATTACACTGAATGACCATAAAAACTTTGAAAATACCCACTGAATACTTCAAATGATCACTGTCATTCAAACAAATTCGCTCAAATGATAAAATTGAGAACCATCTTCTAGTTTTTGAAGTATCGAAAATTGGAAATGCACAGATGGAGTGATAATGAAAGATCCAAATTAAGCACATCATACACTCATGTGTTATACTTCATTCACTTGAAATGAGAATGGTTGAATAAGTGAATAATTGCGATTAGCTGCATTAAAAAATGGGTATATTGATCATTTCGTCGAAGCCTTTCGTGTAGATCTATTAGAAATCTTACGGTAATTACAGCTTACGTTGTCCTATATTATACTAGCTGTGTTCAGTAACCATTCAATCGAGGCACTATTACTTAAAAACCAATTCACGAAACACATAATTCATAATGAATACTAGGTGATGAACAACGTACACCAACTGGAATCACACTAAGGAGGAGTCCCTTTTGCAGCACGAAAACCTTGCAGATGATAGATATTAACATTAACAGCCACTGCCAGGGAAGTTTCACTCACTGCCTTCCCGCAGCCAGTGTGTGGTTCATGTAATTGAGAGGATGAAAACGAATGTTCGGCGCTTTAACCAGTTTAGTAGATATGGAGGATTCACTTACGGGAGTTGGAAAACCCCAATTCTAAACCAATGGTGCACATGGGTTCCAGGATCTCGAGGGAACAAATGATGTATGAACCTATTGTTGGTTACCGTCTACTGTGGGAGTGTATCTCCTAACGTTGCTCCGCTGCTTTGTGGACAAAACCTCTAGGTCAAAATTCGGGCAGTGGCTCCCTAGGTACACCATCTGCTTCGGTTTGGGCGCCCCGGCAGTATTCTGGCCCCCACACAAATCGAATGACGAAGTGTGGCGCATATACATTTGTCACTTCATTGTATAAATGTTTGTGTTTAAATAAATAAATAAAAGGTTTAATACAATGATTTGTACTGACTAGAAGTACATAATTTACAATTTTGGAGTCCATTGAAGTCGAGTTGAAGATTATGCTTAAGATGGCGTGAAAAAAACCCTAACCTCAAAAATAGTCTAAGAAATAACCAGACTGGAAACAATGTGGTGTTTGTGGTGAAGATTTGACAACTCATTATATAAAATATAAAACCTTTAATATGTCAGTCAGTCAGTGAGGAACAACGTAGAACTTCGTACGTATGTACACCAGTTCGAGTTGCCATACCACATTAGCACAGAGATACAATTGTCGATTCAAATCCCGTAGTGGTAGAGATAGTAAAAGTATAAACAGTAATTGGAAAGATTAGCGTTCGAAGATGTTATTCATGGAGTATAATCCAGTGAAATAAATTTGGGAAGAGAAAAAAAGGGACATGAAGAATTCAGATTAGAATTTGACATTAGAATTTGACATGTAAAACCAGTTGTCTGATATGCTACTTGCCTAAATCTTATTATTTGTGATAACCGGAAACCCCGAATTCCTGAGTTTCCTGAGTACTTAAATTCATTTTCTAATGTGACGCAGAAACATTAACCCACCAGATGAATAACTTTTAGTTGTTTTCATGGAACCAAACTTTAACAGTTTAGTAGTATATACCGAGACAAATTTACATCTGATATATGGATAGCATATGAAATGAACGCAAATTACTTCTCCTGTAAATGATTCACAAATCATTCGAGAACATATATTATAGACAGTAACATAAAATTAAGGTCTAAGAATTTTACTACTTACTTGCGACTGATTTTGAGAACGAGCAGGTAGATATATGGGAGACTGGACCTGTGATGGTGTGTGAGAAGTGCAGCGAGGAGATTTGGAGTCTCTTCGTTGAATCGGTCGCCCAACTTCATCATGAAGACGTTTCAATTTGAGCAGTTGACTTGCACTAAGTGACGTAGCTGGTGTTTGGGAATCATCCATACCTAAAATAGCTTCTTCATCGTTGATTGAATTTGCGGCAGCAAAAGTATATGAACTGGCAGCACTGACTACGTTGTATGGAGTGCTACCTAAAGGGCACATATCCGTACCGGATGTGATTACATGATTCAAACTTTTCATATCAGTTTCACTAGAAATCACATCTGACAACTAAAAAAGGAAAAAAGAAATAAGACTAGTAATTCTAAAAACAACAGACGTAACCAGAAGTTTACAGCTACTGACTTGAGAATAGGTGAAAATGAGGACTTGGACTACATCTACCCAGTGAAGACAACCTAACCGGGAAAAATTTCAAATCGCATAATAATTGATGCGGACTGAGAGAGCTAAAGTAACGAGTTGGTAGTGTTTCAAGTTCGCGAGTCCTACAAAGTTAACATACGTTGCAGAATGTCTTTTTAAGTTATTTGAATCATGGTAATCTAACACAAACTCTCTCAAATTATCTCAACAATTGACCTTAAACTAATTATTAATCAAATAGTTTGTTCATCCAAGTATTCGGTGGATTATTAAGTGCCATTTATATACAGTATGTTCAACCCCCCTAAATAATACTACTTGTTTAGTGTAGTAGTCGGTATAAAAAACAGATAATATAAAGGATTGACTTAGTCAAAGTTTATAAATACATTGCCCCCAAATGCCCTGGTACAGCCGAGAGTGGGGAAAGTCCGCTCTCCCTCTTGAAATGCTCTCACATGGCCACGCGTATATAGCCTCTGCCAGGGAAGTCCTACTCAGTGCCTTCTCGTGGCGGGGATGTTGTTTACGAAAATGAGGACGAAAAGCGAATGTCCAGCGTTTTAACCGGATTCCAAAATAATGGTGCACATGGACTCCAGTATCCTGCGGGAACAAATGGCGTATGAACCAATTGTTGGTCACCGGCTTCCATCTCCTTACGATGCTCCACTGCCTTGTGGATCAGACCTTCAGGTCGAAGGCTCGGGGAGTGGCCCCCTAAGAAAACCACCTGCTTCAGTTTGGGCACCCGGGCAGTATCACAGCCCTCACACATATCGAATGAGATTTGTGTGGCGTATATGTATTTGGTGCCTCCTTGTACCAATATCTATGTGTTAAAAAAATAAAAAAAGTAAATACATTAGCAATCTCGAACGTGTAACAAGAAACTGAATGATACAATGTGCTAATAAAATTATATTCTATAGTTTATCAGTGTGCAATAAAATTGTCTTGCGAAAAAAACATGGTGAGCATGAGTATCTTAGATGAAACACTTCACTTACGAAATCTTTTACATCCACTTCATTTTCCGACGTTTTAGTAATGTAATCATTAGCATCAGCTGGATTTGCTTTTGAGATATTCTGTTCACAGTAATTTTCACTGGTAACACGTCCGACAGTCACAGACCCTGACAGGTATTCTGTAGGTATATCTTCGTGATTAGTAGTTTCAATTGATGCACTTGCCTCCGGTTGATCAAGAGCGTCATGACGTGTAGCTGTGATATCGGAATCCTGCATGTTTACTTTGGTTACAGTCTGTGGATCAGTTATAACTGAAGGTACAACAGCTAAAGGAGGAACGTTTATTTTTGACTGCTCAATAGTTGATACAGGATTTTGCACGATGCTTAACGATGTTGCAGTAGCTTGTAAGCGTCTGAGTTGAGTTGCTGCAGAATAAATGGGTACCGACTGAGCGTCATGGAAAAGAAGGGTTGCAGCACATGAGTTCAGGCCAACTGAACTGCTTGATGTCGAACATGAAACAGCGCTAACGATAGAATTAGTCGCCAAAGTATTCGTCAGAGAATTGGTAGACGTAACTGTCATGCTAACACCCGGACCGCCCAGTGAATTAGTAGGTACAGCAGGAATTCTTTTGCGATTAAGTATTTTCGGTATGGTGAGACTACCAGTATAAACCTTGCGAATAACTTTACGCGGACTATGACGGCGAAACGGCAGGTTTTGAACGGTACCAATAATATAAATGCTAGCTTCACGTTTAGAAGTTCCATGACTGGAATTACTTGAATTAATATTTGAACAGTTACTGATATGAATAGCCGACGACTCTTCAGAAGTCACAATGTGTTCGTCGTCCTTCGCTGATGAAACGCGAGACGAGATTGTTGAGCGTTTATGTACATCTGTATTACCAGTTATATAGTTAAATTCGAGTGGTAGGCAAGAGCGATGAGTTTCTATCCTAGTCGAGCCAGAAAACGAGTTGACTTGCAGATGCTGAAGTGAAGCTTTATCAAGGGGTCTGAGAACAGAATAGCAATGTCCTGGCTTACTATCAGCATTATACAGAACATGATGACTGATTTTCCTGCTGACACTTAATTTTTCAAAGTGTTTATACCGGTGTGTTCCAGACTCCTCACATTCAGAATGGGACTCGCGTACACAATTTGCTGAGCGATGAATTAGTAAACCCGAATCACTCTGATATCCAACAAGCAACGAAAAATCACTTGGATCTTTATAATGATGGGACTTATTTATATGACGTGAATGTGATAAATACGAATGACGTGAGGCTAAACAAGAAATCCGCCTTGAACGATTGTGACTTTTGACTTTTTTCCAGGCATTCTGATCGCAGACCGACAAAGAGCGACAGACTGAGGCTCTATCATGAGAATCTAACTTTGAGCGGAACAATGAATTAGGACACCGTGTACGTCTTATACCTGCTTCATTTTCAGAAGAGAAAGTAAGGACAATGTTATATTCAGCATCGTTGTTAGCATTTTGTCGAAGAGCAAGAGACTGTATAAAAAAACCTGTACGGCTCATACGTTGTGTAAGAATATTCAATTCATCTGCATGAAGTTGTTTAATATGGATTTCATCATCATTTTGCGACACACTGCAATTTAGTCCAAGAACTAAACGATCGAGGAGAGTGAGTTGGCACATCCTGTCTGGTCGTCGAGGGATGCGATGACGAGACGCATGACTATGACTGGGTTCTGGTAATACGATTCGGCGGCTACTAAACTTAGAACTTGTATGGATGCGCCGAGAACTTAATGAACGCTCTGACTTTCGTGGTGAACGAGACTCTAAAGCGCTATGGCAACAGTAACTTGATCCTGTTCGTCTGGAATGCCCAATTTTAGAAGGACGGTGATGGTAGCACCTTGCTTGGCGAAAAGACCTTCCGTAAGCATCTACTATGCCAGATTTGGATGTTGAAGATGATACAGAAGAATCATCATGCAAATATGTTTTTTCCGAATACCAATCGTCCTGCCTATGGGAAGTCAAGAAACGTTCATTCGGTCGCTTTCTCTGAAATGTGATTGCACGGCGTTTATTGCGACGTCTTTCGAGACGCCGATCACCAGATAACTGTACGGACTTATTGTAATTTAAATTGAACCTTTCAGCATTGTTAGGACTACTAATTTGAAGATGAGTCCGGCTTTCTGGTTTTAGTTGTATTTGGTTTCCCATGTCTGTTTTGCGAATATCACAAGAATCTTCCAGAATATCCTGTTCCAGATCACAAGGGCTATTATCGAGTGACCTTATAGGTGAAAAGTTACCAACATTTTCCATGCGAACTTTTGAAGTAAAACTTGCTTGACGTTGGCGACGCTGAAGATTGTTACTAAGACCCGTGACTTCATTCTGCTTACTTGAGGAGACATAACAAAACTTCCAATCAATATGATGACTTACGTCCGGATGGCGACTAGTTCTAGATGGTATAGAAACATTCATTTTAGCAGTACGATGTGCAGACCGAGCTGCTCTTGAGTCCAAACATAATTTATCTACATATCCAGTACTTTGAGACCTAATAGGAGTAATCTGAAGGCTACTCTGAACATGTGATTTGGCTCGAATGAGCTTCTTAGCAGCAGTCAACCTCGCTGCTGACACAGTAGTCGAACGTGTAGATTGATGTCGAGTTTTTTCATTATTGTGAATACCATCAAGTGAGATGAGACCATCAATATGGGAATGATGACTACTTTGAGATATCATGTCAGAGTATCGTCGTGGACGAGGATTAGGACGTAAACGACCCATCAAATTTCGACTCAATTGCTTACTTCGATCTTCCCGTCGTCTGCGCCATACTTCACAAACACCTGGGCGCAAGAGGCCACTCATTGCTAAAAATAAATCTTTTGAAGCGAGGTCATCATTTAATCTGTCTTCTTTGCAAATGGAGTCAAAAATCCTTTCAACAGAAGGAGAATTGAAGCTCATTACAAAATGACTTTCATCGACCTTGCCAGGCGGGGTAGTAGGTTTTTGACGACCTTTTCTTATACGTTTGACAGGCAACTTTACAAAACCATACTCATTTACTTCATTTAATACTTCTTGGAGAACATCATCAGTGGCACCAAAACGAAGTTGAAAGGGTGAAGCTGTACATGATGTGCGCACTAGACCAATACTCGGAAACCTCCGTTCTTTAGTGATTTCTGGATATAAGTGATGTGAATCCTGAGGGAAATAAACTGACTCCTGGACTTCATCTTGAGTGACTTCCTTGCTTTCAGATTTTATGGGAGCACTGGTTTTGGGAAATAGTGCAGAACACAGCTTAAGAGGAGGTCTTCCACGTCGTCGTTTCGTTGGTAAAGGTAAATTAGCAGAAATTTCACTACCTTCTTTTTTGACGTCTGATCTGTTGTCATCAGATCTGTAGCTGCCTCCATTTGGTTTATCGGGCCTTAATGTACTTTCCAGGTCTACACAGTCAATAACAGAAGTATTGTGTACTGGAGAATCACATTTCTTGGGGAAGCTACTTTGGACAGTGGTCCCACTAGCTATGAAATCTACCGACTGACTAGTCGAATTAGCTCCGGTGTCACAAATGGACCGAGGAAGACCTCTAGAGAGTCGCAGACGCCCTCTTTTGACTCCCCTACTAAATGGCCTACCAGGTGGATTACTAGTGTAAAGTTTTGGATCGACCTCAACACTAGGTTTCGACAGATCAAACTTGGACTCATCTTCCACTTTTATTTTGCTTATACGAGATCTCAGAGTTGAACTGTTATTTATCGAAGAAAATGCGTCACAACCTTTACTTTTTGTTCGCGTAGCATACACAGTATGCATTAGAGGATCAGACGAAAAACTGCAAGTTTTGGATTCCAAGTGTACCGTACAGGGCAAACGACTACTTCCACAAAGACCCCGACTACCGCGCTTACGAATTTTTGGTCTTCCCAGGTTGCTCCCTACACAAGTTCGTGTAACTTCGGATGACCAACGAGTTCTTGGTTGACTCCGTAAAAATAAGGTACTAGTACGACCTCGTCTTGAACCAGAGCACTTATGATCAACAACACTTTTATGTTTGCTATATTTTGGGCCCAATCCTAGCGATGATACAATAGATCTTTTCTGACCTCGGTTTCTGAAACAAAATAATAAAGGACAATGGTGAAAATAATTCACACTGCAACAAAGTATTCATTACAAATTTTTATTCTTTGAAGTGATCTGGGCATTCTGATTGCAATATTTAGTAATTGTATATTAAGCTATACATATCTTAAGCGGCCATTTAGCAAATAATTCCATTATTTTGTAGTCCACATAGTCGCAACTTGACAAAAAACTCATTCGCACCCAGCGGCGGCAACGTGAAGCCCGAAGCATTTTATAATTATAACTATTTCGTATCTAGGTATATATATATATATATATTAATTGTGAAAATCTCACAAATATGAATACACTGAAATATACACGGGTGTAGTGTTGATCATAAACGCCTTGAAACGAAACGTATAAAATGCAACAGAAGTAATGATACCATGAAAGGTAAAAACTCACCTGGTCCGCATCATATGAGAAAAACGGAGACCTATAAATATGTAATAAAAAATGTAGGGCAATGATAACAAAGAACGTTCATGCACATTAAATGAAAAATAAATTCAATGAAGCGCAAAACTCAAACCAGATAGTACAAATAAGGTGATCGTTCGGATATAAACCACATTAACTGTAAGTTTAACTCATACTTTTATGGGAAATCTGCATATCTGACCACATCAAAAACCATTCGAAGTTTGTAGAAAACGAATAGAACTCATTTAACGCAAGATAACAACTTACAGTCGCAAAAGTTTTGAAAAACAAGAATTTGACCGATAAATCTATTTTGGACACACGCAACACAATAGCAAAATCGAAACCAAAACAAGCTGCGCGGGTCTTCACCGACCTACTGTCCAATCATAGGGATTGGCAGGCGTTCCAGCATAAAGTCGATTGAATAATTATAACAAGTTTAATAAAAATATTCGTTCTGTAAATAATACACAGATCACCAGAGTACATTAAAGTGTTTTTGGTTAACTATTTTATTGACTTCCGAAAAATTTAACAACCGATGTTTGGTGTTAAGTATTCAATTTTGGTTACACCAATTTACAACCCGTTTCAAAATAACGGTTAACTTTAAGCATGTATTTATTTCTTGTGCGTTTCTTATGTATGTTAACAAACCATATCCCTATCGCCTGCAATTAAAGATTATAATAGTAATATAACATACTTTTAGACCACTCTATACTATGTGGAGATTTTTGACCTGTTGTATTATTCAGTAACGTTGTCGGAGTTACATTTCGTTTCACACTGTCAGTCCCAATCGTGCTAGGGTGCATTTGTCAATCGGGTGGGATCCGTCTGTAGTTGTCATCCCAAAAAGAAGCTTATAAATAACATTCATTTCATGACAACTGTGATCATTTTTCTTATTTAATATGTCATCTTTCTGTAAGGGCAAGTTTTCACTTTTTTATTCACAAAGTCACTAGAGTTTAGTGTTAATATTTAAAATACTCTAGTGAATTATGATAATTCCGCCTATACCATAGAAATAACAGAGTTGTTTTTTTAACCATGTTGACAGTTTAGTAAACATTAGGGCAAAATCAAAAGTATTACAGGTAACAGTTTCTGAAATATATGCGGGGAGAGATTCACGGTAAAGCAGACGATCTGTAGGAATAATGCATTCACCATCGCTATTTATTGGTACAGACGCATATACAGAAATCAAGCCGAACATTATTCAGCCACGTGCAAACTTTAAGGTCTTATCAGCATTCAATCATACGCCTTATTGTATTCTTCGAAATGTTCAAACATTATATGCTGTTTGTCACACGGACTTGTCTGTGTAAATAATGGTGTGACTTCCAAGTAAGTTTAGGTAGTCACATTACAACAAATCTACAATTTCGAGATCAGGTATATCCTTTTAGTAGCAAAGATTGATGCACCGACTTAATAAACATTATCTGTTATTAATTCTCATATTCGCTTCAACTTTGTCGACTGACTTTTACTTATGTTGATTATGTTGATTAGTGCTTATGGGTAATGTATTCTAATAGTGGTTGGTATCCATAATCAGTTTACTACCTCGATCGATGCTAATAACTAATCAACTTTATTTATGATTAGTTCTAATAGTTCATTGGCAAGCTTTGGTGGCATTCATATACTTCAAGATAACACGTTTGTTAAAACATCCATCACTAACAAAAATAGCGCCTAATCGACATAAATACACATAGACTGTCAATTATTGTGAGCTAGGACAAATAAATACTTGAATGTAAATCTTCATCTTGTTCCTTCAATAACTTATTTAATATATTTTACACTATAGACTATCTCAAAATATCTTTGCGTTCGACCACTGACAACCTAATTCAGAATTCTCGAATTCAATTATTAAACAACAAAGGCAAGATTCTGGAAATTTGCGATGAGCTTAAGCTATAAAAATTCTCCAATCTTAGGCACGACTTAAAATATAAGTACTATGAAAGCCAATAATCCATCTGAAATCATTCGACCGTGTTAATCATCAGTGTTGATGATCTCTGTCGAATGACTGGAGGCCTACTCGAGTTAGAAGGGAATGGTGTCATGAAACGACTAACTTCGAAATCACACCTCTTGGTCGGTGTCCAATGTGGATAACCTCCTCGGTGTATCAAAGTACTATGGCTGTCTTGAAGATCGTATAATACAAAGGATGATATTATAAAGATATATCAGTAAGAATGAGTACATGGAAGATAGCGAGACCAGTCTGTGGCCCACAACTAACTGATGCGCGTTGGTTATCCTTGACCTCGACGAGGATCGGTGATTCGTTCGATATTCCGCTATTCGACTGCCAGATGGTTTTGCTAGGGCTCAGTGATATTTTGCTGTTCCTACAGATTTATACTTATACAACGGAATCCCACATACCGAGAAATTAGTTGCAATAATGGGCGTTTTATTTGATTAAACTGGACTAATTTATTTGTCACAGCCGACGTTTTATGTCAAAACTGTTGAATAATCCCTATTTCGAGAATAATCCAGACGAGTTGTATCATTTCAGCAGCTGGTTTATCATGTTTGTCATACTTCGTAACATGTATATATTTTCACTCGATCTAGACACATACATTCTTTCGTCTAACTATCTCTTTCATTCTCGTTTTTGAGAAGATATGTATTCAAATGTTTCGGACGACAACATACTATCATGAGGAATTGTGTATTTATTGGGAGAATCATTTTATACTCAATATCAATTTGACACCTCTTAGTCCTGATTATCGTCGTTAAGTGTAAGTGTTACCATATTATCTGCAGTAACCTCTTCCGGAAAGTCTACACTTTTCCATCATGCTCCTAACTTTTGTTCCGTAAGTTATGTCTCAGCTTTTGGATTTTCTGGAAAGTTTCATTTTGATTGTTGTTTTCTTTATCAACGTGGATTTTAACCTAGCTTGTTTGTTGTTAAGTTTCATGTCAACGGGCATGTTAACGTAGCTTACATATACGTCATTTTATGTTATCTTTATGCCATTCAGATTTGCCTATTGTTTGAACTGCTCCTAAAGTTTTTAAACCAAATCCTTCACTGCATGTATTCAGGTTTATGAGATTGGCTATCATATTTGTTGTCTAATGGAACGTTTGACACTTCAGAAAATGGGCGATAATAAAGTCACCGCACTATAAATATTATTACAATGCACTAGTTTAATCACTTAACTATTACGTAGTTCTTTGTAACAAAAGTGGTCAAAATAGAAACTCGGTAGTGTACTTGAATCAATGTTAATACTTCTGCATCATGATTTGTAATGTAGTTTGGCGACTCCGATTCGTTACGGCTAAATACGTTATTACAAACTTCTGACGTTCTGAATCACTGAACGTGGACATATTCTGAACCTTCAAAAGTATTAAACGCTTAAAACAATACCTGATTCAATCAAGCGAAAGCTCTGTCAACACCATTACTAGTCATTCATAATAACCTCTGTAAATCGTGATAAAGTATCGTCACAGCCTGGTAGTCACGTAATATGATATATAAAGTTTTCCGTGACTATCTTTATTTAACATGGATGATTTCGGCCAGTTTTTTAACCGGTCACTTCTTTAGCAAAAGACACGGAACTTAATCAGTCTGATCGAATGTTTGATGATACAATCATTTGTGAAAATCATTAGCGTAAGCAGCCCCACAAATCTCTTGCAAGCTAAAAGTATCGTAATCTAACTAAACTGAACACCGGCAAAATTTCGTACCACTCTCTTGCGAATTGGTCACGCTCTTGTAATCCTTTAAAGATGCATTAGGCTAAAACACATCGTACAGAACATCATCTTAGTTGTGGCATACAAACCATTTTGATTTCAAGGCTCAATTTAGAAACAAAATGACTATAGCTTCTGTTTACCTAATACTCACATTTAGGTTTAATGGGAGGTAGTTTTTAGCCATCATCCACAAGCCCTAATATGGATAGCTGATTTACAATTTTGTCAGAAAATTGAGTTTAGTATATGTCTCTCACGACTACACAAATATTGAATTAGTTATTGTCAGTTGTCCACAATAAATTCGTGAAACTACCACGGTTTTCACATAATAAAAGATTTTTTGATAACATTTCGTTTATTTTGGGAACATAAGTGAATTATACCACATTATTGCTAATACAGGAACAAAAAAGTGGTGCTGTTCACACGTCAAACTGTTAGTGCTATGCATTTCACTGTAGCTTGTTCAGTCAATT